AGGCTGTCATATTTAATTTCCAGACAACAGCAGTGTTTGATTTTCAAACTGTGACAAAAAATCCTATTTTCAATCATTGCCTGCAATGGCAGATATGTCTCCATGAATTCTTAACAGCGTGCAAGGAGAATGCAACTACAATACAATACAACCTATTTCACTTTATGGCACTTTCAGGTGGCTTCAAACACTTTCAATACATTCAAACACTTTCAGACACTCAGTGGTGCAACAGACACCGATAGTTGTTGGCTTGCGAGAGTGCAATTGATTCCTTTCAGTATAGTACAAACCGTAACGAAGAGTCAAGCAGTTAAATTTTGTCTTTTATGAGGGTAAAAGCTCTTGCACAAGCTGCACTCATGACACAAGCCGGGTTTGGATGTGTTGAGTTGTGTGGGTAGAACTAACTCGTGATACGATCACCTGAAAAAAATTACTTTATTACACAGTGCGCTTGCTTGCCCTATCTAAGTCCTATTGAGGCGCTATAAACAAAATCTTTATTTACGCACGCCCGTGCGTAAATAAGATGACGTGAGCCTTTCTTTTCTTTACCTGGCTGCAGAGTTGCCGTCCTGCCGGTTAAGCTGCAGTGCAGTTCTCCTTCTCTTTAAAATATGGAAGAAACTAGCGAAGAACTGCCCAATTTTTCTATCGGCATTGAGCTTCTAGGTCCTAATCTAACAAGAAGCAAAAACAAAGCCGAAAAAAACTCGCAAGTTGCACGTTTCGCAAATTTGTCGGATCGTTGAGTTTTAAAACATTTTATAGTGACTCTTGACTTCATTTAGATTTTATTTTCTCAATTTAGTTTCCCGTTAATTTTGAACTTTTCATTCACAGTTATATCGATTAACTGGATCAAATGCGCTCGCTCAAATTAAAGTATAAAATGTAGCGTGTTTTTGGTCAGCCAATAGGGACGTTTGTTTACCTTTTTTTGTGCGTTGTGAGAGTTTTGCACTCCAGCACAATAAAAAAGCTTCTTCGCACATATCCTTGTTGTCGCTCTGTTATAAAATAATTTGTTCCTGCCCTCAAAAAGCTAGAGTAGCTCTCGGCTGCGCCTCAACCTACTCTTACGCATTTTTTGTGCTCTCCAAACTTCCCGCGCGCATCCATAACGCGATATACGCACGGTAAGCATGAATAAATTCTTAACAAGACCACTCTTACAACCAAGATACCTGACTCAGACTAGTGCGCCGTACGACAATAGACCACGTGACAGGCGCTCGACTCTCGATCGTGGACAAATAAATAAATGAATGAATAAATAAATCCGATCTTGCCATAATGTGGCTACACGCTGTGTAAGCCACACAATAATCGTTTTGATAATTCATGGTATAGTTTCAAGTTTCCTCTTTGTGTTTATAAAGGAGAATGACAACGACAGAACACTCAGTTCCCCCACTATTTTCAGAAAGGAAATTATAACTCAAAAAATATATGAAAGACATATATCTGAACTGCGGTTATGAAACGTATATGTGCACAATCCTCGCAGTAAAGTACTATTTAAGCAATAGTGAGAATCAGACCTGAAAAAAATTCAGGCCTGTACCGGATTCGAACCACTGACCTCTGCAATACTAGTGCTGCGCTATACCAATTGAGCTAATAGCCTGTGTGATTCTTTGTGTTTTGATTCGCCGGCTTGTTAGCTCAATTGGTAGAGCGCTGCACTAGTATCGCAGAGGTCAATGATTCGAATCCCGTACAGGCCTGAATTTTTTCAGGTCTGATTCTCACTATTGCTTAAATAGTGCTGTACTTTGAGGATCGTGCACATATACGTTTCATAACCGCAGTTCAGATATATGTCTTTAATGTATTCTTTGTGTTTGATTCATCATCTTACTGGTTTATGTCGAGTTAATTTGATGGCCTTCTCCCAGTTGGCTTGTTCCCAGTTGGCTTGTTAGCTCAATTGGTAGAGCGCTGCACTAGTATCGCAGAGGTCAGTGGTTCGAATCCCGTACAGGCCTGAATTTTTTCAGGTCTGATTCTCACTAATGCTCGAATAGTGCTTTACTGCGAGGATGGTGCACATATACGAAATTATAACTACTGAACTTCCCCTTCTCTTCTGGGATACAGCAAGACGGGAAATGGACACGTTTTGACCTTTTATCGCATTTTATCCCATTTTATCCCATTTGTACCCTAAAATATCAATTCTTCTTTGGTGTACAGGAAATACGCCAACAACAAAAACCACGTAGGTAGATAGGACTTCAAATAGGACTTCAACTACAAAACATTTTGAGCTGCGGATTTTGCGGAACCATTTCATGTTTTCTAACTTCCTGTACAAGTCAAAAATTTTAATATCCGCTGAAGGCCTTTAACTTGAACAAGACTTACTCTTCGTTCCTGCTTACTTCCAAACTGTAATTAGATGACACGTCGTTTGTTTTCTATTTTCAATCATAGGACTATCTGATAGTACACAGAATTTATAAAGTGAGATTGCATCGCGTTTGGGCATAGGAAGTTGCCGAAGTTGCATAATTTGTCATTGTTTTAGGGGGGGGGAGTGGGGACAACAGCCATCTCGGGTATATTTTGAACTTATAGATTTTTCAGAAAAGCAACGCGCGATGGAATTTTCAGATATAATTTTTGAAAATGGTTTATCAAAAGATTCCTTTAGGAGACAAAATAAAATGAATTACGAGTTTTTGCAACTGCCAGCGTTTTCTCGATATTCGTAGTGGCTTCAATATTTGAGGTGTAATATAACTAAATGAATAAAAACTATTTCTATCGTTCTTGTTCAAATAACAAACTTTCTTTTACATCCAATTACAAACTTTTTCACATTCGGATCGTTTCCATTATGATTTTGAAAGTGCGAAGACTGTCCTTTTCAAAGCAGCGACAGTTCCGATGCTTTAAAAAAAAAAAGTCAATTTTTAAGAAAGTTTTCCTTCCTCAAGAACTAAATATCTTGTTTTACTAGTCCGCGTTTTACTAGTCCACGTTTTACTAGTCCCCGTTTTACTAGTCCTCGTTTTACTAGTCCGCGTTTTACTAGTCCGCGTTTTACTAGTCCACGTTTTACTTGTCCGCGTTTTACTAGTCCGTGTTTTACTAGTCTGCGCTTTACTAGTCCACGTTTTACTAGTCCAGTCCAGTCCAGTCCAGTCCAGTCCAGTCCAGTCCAGTATACAGAATACCACATGCCTCGATTTTGAAACCGTCGTCATATATTCATCACATTCTTCGTCTTACTTAACAAACACTTCGGTTCTATCGTTACCCGTTTAAGATTCGATTTTCATGGAAAAAAATCCACTGGTGCAATTTTACTATGACGTAATGAAGTCATCAAGTCACTTTCACAGACACTTTTTTCTTGAAAATGAAAACAAAAAAAATTAAAAGCGTCACAACGTGTTAAGTTGAACTCATGCAGATATTAGTTAAAGAATATTAGGAAAGTGTTTATCTCACTGGGAAAGTAAACACTGACCACCTACCATTGACCTTGAACCTCCTGAGGACCACAGTGGCAAAGGGATGAAAATAGGATTGAAATTGGATCAGCAGAAGATAATTACAATAAGTCTGACTTAAGTCAAACTTAAAACACCAGTCAGACATTCTCCATCTCACACTGTCTTATCTTAATTGCTATTTTAAATGCTCGGAACTATCGAAATCAATTTTAATGTCGCTTAGAGCCCGCAAGTCACGTCTGAAAGACTTCAAAACACTCTTTACGCTCAAGTAAGGCCAAATGATATGTGGCGAAAGGCAATTGATGATTTTTGAAGAATGACATCGACAGTTTCAAGTTGGAAGCTCCCACAGTTGACAAAAATAAACACTGAATATTGAGTAGTTCAATATTTCTTCCATCTAAAAACGTTTTAAAAGTGTTTGGGAGACAGCAAATCATGTTAAAGCTGACAAAATAAATAATAAACATTAAACATGGCAGACAGAAAACATCATACCTATTTCAGCAATCCTTTCCCCGATAAATTTTGAGACGGCATCTCCTCAATTAAATTACGAGCCCAATAACATTACCAATGCAATCTTAAAAAGGCATCTGACATCTCGTTTCCGTCGGAGGGCAATGAAGACTTTCTTTTTGTTTTGTTAATTCTTTTCTGTTCTAAATTCGTTAAATATCAAATTCTCAGGCGGAATTTTGGCGGGGTCAGTCATTGTGACTCGATCCGCGTTTTTGACGAATAAATGCGTGGATCTCCGCCAGCTGCAAATGAAGAAACACTTGCAATTGAGATAAGCATCGGAAAAAAGAAAGACAGAAAACGATAAAAAAAAAAAAAAAAAAAAAAAAAAAAAAAAAAAAAAAAAATCCGCAGCCGTACCAAACTGTAGGTGGTCCTGTCTCGCTTCAATAACTTTTAATTTTGTTGTTGCTGCTGAGACCGTGTAAAATGTGTTTTCCTTCTACATTTTCTCGCTTTTCTTGATTAATTAATTAACAAACCGGAAAATAAATTACAAATAAAAACAGTGGAAATGGAAATGCAGTCACATCAAATTTACAGCAACCGCCGTAATTGGGAAAAATCACCCTTTAGACAATGATGAAACAAGAAACCGAAAAAATAAGAAATGAGAAAAACAAAAAACAAAACAAAACAAGGGTCTGCTTAATTAATCATAGTTTTCCAGTTGTTCCACAAAATTGAGTCATAATTTAAACAATCCTCAATCCAGCTAAACCCATGATTTATTTGAACATTCATTTTTGTGAACAGCGTCAAAAGGGCTGAAAGCTAAATCAGTGGGAGGAAATTTACTGAACAAAACAAACCTTTTATAGAGAAATTCGGAGGCCAAGTGATTAAGTAAAATCGTGGTTTAGGTTTAACTTCGTGTAATTAACCAACCATAGGACATCTACCTCGCAAAATGTAAATTCATCATCAAAGTGTACGTGCGTGTGTGCGTTTGTGTTCGTCTGTACTTTAATTATCCTCTTCCAATCGTAATATAAACTTTCCACCTTATTTTTAGCTTCTAAACCATTAGCAAAGCGATCTTCTTGGGATCGCCTATTCAAAAGTGCCTTTTAACCACAGCAGTCCGCCTAGTCGAAAAGGCGACACTGCGAAAGTCGCCTAAATTCGACTCTCCATCTTTTCCGTGTTCAAGGCTTTCAACTGTCAAGACGGCGTCATAGCGACTTCTACAAATGATCAAAGAACTATCATAAAAAAAAGGAGAACTCATAGAAAATGAAACCGGAACACGACCACATTCTGACAAGGACTCGTGATTCATGAGTCAGTACTTAATTTGAATATTCAGAACCAACACTGATACTAAATTAATAAACAACGCTTGAAAACCACGACATTCAAGAGAAGACTCATGGATATCACGAGCGCACCGCCAGGAGCAACGAGCGGTTCATTCGAAACTAAACCAAGCAGCACAGGAGACACACCACCATCGTACGTATCTGACTGTGGTAACCGCGCAAGTGAGACCATGATTCCGAAAGAAGTCAGGATATCATTTTACTGCGTCGTCCTGCTTCTTTCAGTTCTTGGGAACAGTCTGCTCATCTTTATCATCAAGAGAAACAAGCGGATGCAAACAGTAACCAATTATCTGATCACCAATATGGCGATTTCTGATCTATTAATAACAGTTCTTGCAGTACCGAGAAAAATAATAGACGTACAGTTTGGGTTGCGAGGATGGTTTGTTGACGGAACCTTCGGTTCGTTTCTCTGCAAAAGTCTCTCTTTCTTTCAAGATATTTCAACGGCGGTGTCAACTTTAAGTCTCGTCGTTATAGCCATCGACAGATACAGAGGAATAGTGTTCCCACTGCGAAAACCACTCATAAAGCCGGCTAAACTCCAAAAAGTCATTATACCGTTGATATGGCTCTTTTCTATGAGTCTTCACGCACCTTACTTCTACATCTTTCGCACAAACACAATTAATGACAAAACATATTGCGTTCCGAGGTGGGGTCCCAGACTTGATTTCAAGAAGAGTCAAAAAATATATGTCATGATACTCCTCATCTGTACCATAGCCATTCCGGTTTGTATCCTTATATCACTGTACTCTGTTATCATATTCAATCTCAGAAGAAATGGAAGTACATGTCTGGAATCTTCAAATAGCATGGCAGCACGAAGGCTCCAAGAAGACAAAAAAGTTGTGAGGAACATTATCGCCATACTTATTGCCTTTACTGTTTCTATTACCCCATTCAATGTAATTGTTGTCATGTTTCATTTCGTCTGGGATTTCAAAGTACCTTGTGGTAAGGAGATTTATTTCTTTGTAGCCCCTTCCATATTTTATTTGCATTCATTAGTGAATCCTTTCATTTATTATATTTTCAATGACAAATATCGAGAGGGTGTTTTGAAAATCTTCCGCCAAGACTCTCATCCCTCTAGAGGCAAACAAGGCAAAAGAAAGAAGAAAACGCCACGGAACTTGGTTGAAACTTCGATGTGACCGAGGAAAGATAACTTCAAAACTCCTGAAAATAATTCATTTTGTCTCTCCATAAGTGAATTCACGCCGAACACGGTTAAATGCTGTCAAAAAACGCGCCGAATTTCTCGAGACCTAAGGCACAGAGATACTCTTTGAAAATTCGACATCACCTTGGGAAGTTCAGCAATAAACAGTTTTCTCCAAGGACAAACCATGCTTTTGTTCGAATTGACGGTTTAAATTAATTATGAAGTTCATAAAGCTGATAAATAAATATGTAACATAACGACTCTTTTAATAACTGATGGTGTCGATTAGCATTTTACAATTAAAAGGGAAGTTGGTTTAATTTGTTCGAAGCTTTCAATTCCCATTTGAAAGGAAAGGATATCTGTTTCCTTTGTGTTGGTAAAATAAAATACTCAAAATAAAATCTTCTACAAGAGTGAAACGAAACGGGAAATGGGGACTCGGAGTTAATTATTATCTATCTTTGTTATCTAAGAGGAAGTGGCATACAGCTTACAACCGAAAGCGAGGATAAAAATAGGTCATGCGTTTCAGTACGTTTCATTGCTGTTGTTCATTCGTTTGTTTGTTTGAGAGAAGAAAGATCTATTCGCTTGATTGACCAAAACTCTAAACAACATGCCCGAAAAATGAGCGACTTCCTGAGCTAAGTTTTTCAGTTAACGGTTTGTTTGTCCCACGCTCGTTACCGGACGAAAAACATATTTCTCAATTAGTTATTGGTTTTGTAAGCGGCGCCGTTACCATTAATAAGTGATGCTGATCATACGTCGAAATTTTCAGTTTTTTCAGTGTTCTCTGAAGAAAATTGAAAACCTTTCTAGAGCAAACTGAACTGGAAGGGAAGATGCGTTTTTTTTTTTTTTTGCCCTCATTCAAATTCGGCTAACAGGTAAGGGACTCAAGATACACTTACAACACGATCGAGGACGAAGATGGGATTTCTGTCGAAGTGAATCAAATATTCTTTAATGAGAGAAAAACAAAATGTTTTCTTTTATTTTCAGAACGAGTAAGTGCAAAATGAGAAGCACCGCTTCTCTGCTTGATTAAGGATTGCACTAAATGATACACTAAAAAAAAAAATTAAAAAAAAAAAACTAAGAGCTTTCCTGTCCAAGTTGACGGTGTTCAAGAAATCATTTCAAAAGGGCAATATGTCAGTAAAACTTTGCATATTATGACCATATTAGAAATAGTAGGTGAAGGTCATCACCTGTTCGTGCCGTTTGTGGGTAAGTTAATTACGTCAAAACTTTCGGCTCTCTCAAAGCTTTCTGACAGGCTAACAGGATATGATCAGTACTGTATTTCAATTTACATTTAGAGTAAAGAGAAAAAATAAATTACGATATCTTTAGCCCCTTTTGAATTTTGCATGCCTTTTAAAATTATGGGTGATGTAAAGGAAATACGGATAGAAAATCTGATGTCAGTTAAAAGTCTGTACAAGAGAAAACATGGAATGTTTTGAAAGTTCTGAGCAGATTTTGACTAAAACAGGATTTTAAAAACGTTTCGTAATTATTTGCTTAACTCACTAAGCAAAACATGCATGAATAACAATTAAATATTTATATATGGTCTTGTCTAACCTGACAGACTTTTCATATGGGTGATATGCAAAATTGCTTAAAAAGACCGTTTAAGTAATTAATGTGTGTAAATCACCTGTGAATGTTTGGAAAGGAAATCACTTGTTGTGTCATAACTTTCGGCTCCCACGAGTCCTTCAGGCAAAACACACACATACACACACACACACACACACACACTGCATAAACCATGTTTAGTTTAATTACCCAAAACCCTGAAATGTTCAAAACAGACCTCTGTCCGAATCTATGGTTTTAAGGAAAGATCTAAAATTCTTAATGGAAATATGAAAGAATGTAACTAATATTCGCCTAATTGATTCAAAGTGAAAGTCGTTTTGGAGTCTTGCAACGCTGCATAAACCGGGTTTTATGGAATTAACACTCTATTATTCTTCTTTAAACCATTTTTTCTTACTACAAGCCTTTGTGGGGGAGAGATGAGCAGAGCACGCTTTGCAAGAGGATTTGAGGTGATCTAATGTAACAGCCTGGTCGACTAGTTAAGAAGACGATCTTTAGAGGGCGCGGGTGACAGAAGGTAATCCTTGCCCTTCTCACGTTCCGCCTTACTTAATAGTTTCTTCGGAGTGTTATGAACTACTAAAATCAGAACTACAAAGATAAGGAATATTTTGACAAAGTGCTTGGGATTTGGGATATGTTTAGGCCTGTTAGATCATCTTAAAATCACTAAGGCCCAGTTCAAACGTCGAACTTTACATGTGTCGAACCTGATAATTAGGTTCGGCACATGTAAAAGTTCGACGTTTGAGTCAATTAAGATCGACGCTTTTTGTATTAGGGTCGACTCTGCCGTTCTATTCGACTGAGCTTGTCGAATAGAACGGCAAAAGATCGACTTTGATTCATACGTCGATCTTCACATGTGCCGATCTCAATGCATCATTTTAAATATATTAAATTTGTATTTTTTTCCCACAATCCCACTAGCTTTTAGGTAGTTGCCATGCGCATAAGATTACATTCGATGTGAAATGGGGTTGACAGGCCTACACGACTCCCCAGCGCGTGTTTAGAATAACCTATTCAAAGTGTGGTCCTCACGAGTATGTCTTTGAGCGACCGTCCTCTTTTGTAAGATACGAGGGGCGAACTTTTGTATATTTCGCTCAGTAGTGGTTGTGTTTCTATTGAATGCCAGTGTCTCGAGAGAATTTGCTTTAGGTTTGGCACTGATGTTTGGTATTGTGTAACAAAAGGCAAGATTCGTTGGTTCGTCTTCTGTTTCTGTTGAAGAGCTAGTTTCCTGTTTTTGAAATTCACCTCTGAGAGGGTTGTGTTAATGAGGTCCTCTGGGTATCCTCTCTTTAGCAAATGCGCTTTGAAATTAGCAATTTTCTCCTCGAATATTCTTTGAGGGGAGTTTGTTCTGAGAAGTCTAAGGGCCTCCCCTTTTATGAAGCCTTTTTTAACTCCTTGTGGGTGAAAGGAACAATAATGTGTATACTGAAATGTATCAGTTTGTTTAAAATGAATACGCACATCAAGGATTGCGTCTTTTTCGAATCTTTCGCCTTTGTAGATGTAGGTGTCCAGGACTGTTGTTTCCTTATCGGAAATTTCAGCCGTAAATTTTATTGTTGGATGACGATTGTTTATCTGAACGTTGACCGAGAAATCCGAAATGTTTTCTTGAATCTTGCCTCCAAATAGTTATTCCAAGCATTCTTCCACCATCCAGTGTTTCTCCTCAACCGACGACAGGAGCGAGACACAGGAGAGATGTTGTTTCGTTGAGATGAAATAAACAACACAACAAGAAAACAAGCATTCAAAACTCTCCTCCTCCGAGCAACTAGGTGGTATAACGCCATTTGCATGTTAAGGCGCCTTCTTCTTCCTTCAAGGATGGCATTAGCGATGAGAAATTCTTCCGAGTTGTTTCTCGCGCGATTTTCCGCAAACTCCGCCAAGTTGAATCCTCTTGGGTTCATATCAGTAACCGCTGACCGTAATGGTTTACTTTGTTGTTCGGCATTTAGGTTCGACTGCATTAGGTTCGACCTCTCAATCAACTGCCGAACTTAATTATTTGGGTCGACCCAAATTGGTATTAGGTTCGGCACATGTAAAGTTCGACGTTTGAACCGGGCCAAAGCGAGTCTTGTGAGTCTTTGTTATGTGTTACAAGACCACAAATTTATTTTTACTTTCTGAGTGATGGGTCTTTAACCGTTGTCTAAGGCTGAATTCTCCTACGATGATCGCCATCGTTAGTTGTATTTGGGTTTGTCCTTGACCTCGCTTAGAGTCCTCAACGGCTTAGGTTTCGAAGATTTGTTAGGTTTCAAATGTCTGGGGTAAGCGTTCTAAAAATATTTTTACTATGCCAAGGGCAGTTGTCCCGTGAGCCCAAAGACGCCTACCTATAGGATGTCTGAGAGGATGTACTTAGGGCTGAATTAGAGAGAAACAGAGACTCAGCGAGTGAAATTAAGTTCCTGATCAGACTCCTGGTGCCTCCCGTTTCTGCGTGGTATTCAGGCTAGTTTACCCCCAACAGTCCAACAGAAGTAAAACTGGAGCTATAACTTTGGCATAGCTCTTGACTGGTTACCAGAGAAATAAAACTGAAGAGCTTTACAAAGTCGAATTTCCTTGATATGACAACTTAGCCTAATCTCCTCTCTGCGAGAATTAATTCTCGTAATCTTAATTGGACAAAAAATGGTGCTAACCTTGATATAATGGTTAAAGAGGAAATTGTCTCAAAAACGCATCAGTATTCCCATTTGTGCTATCTTTAAACTTGTCCACCTGTGTTTAGAAAGCACATACGCAGTCAAAGTCAGAAGCTTGAAAGGTAAACAAATCATAATTATAAAAGAAAACCGCATAAATCAGCCGCGGGTGAAAAATAGTAGAAGGTCAGCTCGCAACAGTCTGCAAGAGCAGTCGATTAGGTCGGAGGTTTCAGTTCTATCATTTCTTGCAGAACCGCAGAAAATGTTTAGTTATGCTGATGTTTGTGGTCCATTTACATTTTACTCACATCTTTAGGTAACTCTCGCGACTACATCGAAATTTTAATGCGACATACGATAGATTCCTACAAAACCATTACAAAAATCAATAATCATTTATTTCTCTTTTATTTTTAAATTTTATAAGTGAATTCACATCGAAGACGGAGTGAATGTTGACGAACGTCAGACTCAATTTCAGTTGGCCTCAGATGCAGAGGAACTTGATCAAAGCAACGACGTGACTTCGGAACGCTCGGCAACCTGAGCAATAACAAATACTCTTAAAAGATAAGACTCTTGTCGTAGGAGTTGACGGTTTAAATGACAGAACTTCGAGAGGCCGAGAAGTAAATTACAAACAATGAACTTTTTTCAATAACTAATGGTGTAAGCCACCTGTTTTCAATCTTTGTAACAGGAAGCAACAGCATGGAAATTAAAGTTGTCTTCATGCTTTCCATCCCTGGAGATCTAAGCGGAAAAAAATCGGGCGAGAGAAAGACAGAGCTTCCATTAAAGTTTCGCATCCTTCTTCGTAAAGTTTTTGTTACTGAATTTCTTGACAAGATATTACTGAGAAGAGAGCCATCGTTACCGTTAAAGACCTCCAATACAGCTAACCCAGTGATCTCGATTCGAACACATCGAAAAAATCAAGTATCGGGAATACGATATATTTGACGGTGGTCTTGCCCGAAAAATAATTTAGATGTATTCAAAAATTTCTCACAAGTTCTATCATATATGCGACATTGACCAAGCGTGAGGTCAAGATGGCTGGATATTGGCCGACTTCATTCTTAGCGTTTTTCTGGAGCGAGACGAGGTCCGATCGATGTTATAGTGTTGTCATCCTGACCGAATAACCTCAGTCGAGAATACTCAATCAAGAATGACTTGTTCATATCGAGAGCCGGGAAAGAAAGCTAACCATGTTTGTAGCACAATGAATCCATTAGTGTCGGGTAAATTTCTCTTTGTTTTGACCGTCTTCTGCCGCTTTTCGCGACTTCGTTGCCGACATTGCCCAAAGTAACGAACCTTGTAAGTCCGCTCCACGTACTTTCGTTCTTGCGCGGGAACAAAGCGAGCAATTCCAAGCGGACAAGATGGGCCCATCTTCCCCTGTCTGGTAGCCAATCAAAACACAGGATTCGCCTTATATTGCCTGAGGGCTTCGAGCCATATCATAAAGACCATTAAAACATACCTCGATCATACAGATAGCAACATGATCAGTGTTCTGAGCGCAGCATCAAAGAGAAAAGATAAATAAAATAAAACCAAATTGTCACCGTGTACATTTTCATCAGGTCTCCATGCATTTTCCTCAGCAGATGAAACTGGAGAAGAGAATGACATGTAAACACCATAGAAAATAAATAGAAGTTGTCACAATCATAAACGACTAAAGTAGTTGTATTGGCCCATAATTCAAATTCATGTAGATCTGGAGATTAAGACCATCAACCTAACGATAAAGATCTCTCGCCGCTGTTGCAAAGTATTCTGGGACCCCTGACTTCCTCATCTCAATCAGATCCAACTTGTGGGGATTTTTTTCCGTTTTTAATCCTTTTATCTTCCTTGATTCTTTCATCATTATTTATTTAATTATTTTTTATGTATTCATTTTTCATTAATCTCCAACTTGAGAACGATATGTTCTTGAAGAAAATCTTTTAATACAAGAAAAAATTAAGCCTCCGGCTTCCTTTTATGCCGATCATTTTGGCACAGATGGGCCGAGATTACATGTGAAACAAATCAAAGCAAAAGAAGATATCTATATCTATAGAGAGAGAGAGAGAGAGAGAGAGAGNGCAGAGCTTTTCCTTGTTTAGCAAAGGTAAAGAAGGAACATTAACATAATCATTCATATTCAGCTTTCTTCGGATGCTATCATTTTGTTATTTTGCGGTGTCGTAAGCTCTGACTTAAAGTGTCTATACGGCCAACAGGGTTTTTATAGTTTTGGTATGTATTTAACATGTAAAAAAGTATTCTTAAACAAAAAGTTGGATTCAGACGAGTGTACGCCCTGAAATCGAGCTTTAAACTTGGCCACGCCTATTGAAGGTGACCGTGAGTCGAGGCAAAAAAGAGATTGGGTTTCAGGATGGGTCATGACGTCAAGTCAGGAACGCGCACCAAATCCCCCCAGTGGTTCATTTCACTGTTTTTTTTCGGTAAGGTAAAGAGTTTTCGGCGACATAAATATGCCCGATAGATGTGTCGTAAAAGTACTGCGTTTGTCAAGCAAAGTAACAACACGACGCTCGAGACGCTCCTGGAGTGACTCCACTCATCACCAATCTTCCCTTACGCGGTCAACTTCATTGGGCGTAGCCGAAGTGGGAACTTTAAAGCTCGATTTTAGAGTGAAGAGGCGTCAAAATCAATTTTCTTTTTTAGAATACTTTTTTTACAGGTTAAAGAGATACCAAAACAATAAAAACCCTGTTGGCCGTACAGACACTTTAAAAGAAAGTTGATTTTGTGGTTAAAATATCATAACTTTTACCAATTGTTAAAACGCTAACTGAACGTACTATTTGTTTAGTTTCTCTTCCTCTTACAATTGGGTCGTTAGAACATTCAGCTAAGGTTTTTATTTCATTTATTTATTTTTTTTTAATGGTCCCGGTACAGAACAAAAAGGAAAAAAAAGTAGACTCAGTTAGGACTCGGTAATGGGTGACAGCGACCGCTCAACAGATATTACCACTTAAGAGAGGGTGACTGCTCAATACGGTGCCACTTAGTGCAGATTCGACCTTAAAAACAACAAAACAGCAAAGCAACAAATACAATCTTGTCCCTCTTTGATCGCCTCTCGTTCTCTGGTTCTCGCCTACAAAAACTAGAATTAATTAAAAAGAAACACTTCGCTGGAAATTAACTGGGCTAGCTCTCAGGTAATAATAATAGACGAAATTAACATTCAGGAAACATTGCATCATAAAAGAATGGTTGTTTTAGAACGCAAGTAGCATAAAACTTTTCAGAAAAAATAGACAATTCCTTAGAGAATGAAAGAAAAAAGAAGCTGATCGGGAAAATTGGGACGTTACTTCATAACGAAAGAGATCTTCTTTACAGTCATCATTGAATTGCTCGAACCGCCTAATATAAATATTTGTCAAACTGTCCAAATATTCATAACAGCGTCCATCAAACCGTTGCTATCTGATGAGATATTGCACAGTTGAAAGATTGCTAAAAATAAAAATTAAATAAAACCTTCGGAAATTAATTAACAAAGCGGTAATTTGGTCCTGCTGACAACTTTAAAATTTTACAATTTGACCTCATTTCATGAAGTGCTAATTTCCTCGAATAAGGAGGCCCTTATCACTTCGCTTAATATGCGCCTCGCTGATTATCCAAGGAGAAACATTAGCAGTGTGTGTGTGAAGGTAAAGTGAATGATGGTCTAAAGAACACCATGCTTCCTCTCACTAGAAAACTGCCAAACTAGAAATCTTAAACGAGCCTATTTGACCCTGGATCAGTTAAAAGAGCAATACGACAGGGAAGTTTTGACAACCCAATTGGTTTAAAACAATGTGAGGTCTAAATATCATAGTGAATAACGACCTCAATTTAGAGAAAGTGGGGCTTTTTAGCTCATTGTCTGCTTTGAAACAATATATGCTCGAATACAATGTAATCTTGATTGACGCTTTCAATAACAGCATTACAGATTAATTCTATAATTTGACCAAAATTTCATGAAAAAAGAGAGCTTGAAACCACCTCGGATTTTTCCATTGTAATCGGTCTCTTTCAAATCAAATCGGAAAAAAAGTTCCGAACGGATAAGGATTAGCAAGCAATACCACACAATTTACGTATTTGCGTATTCGCATACGCGTCATTGCGATCCAGTCATGCCAAAGGGTGAAAAACAGCTATACTGGATCAGAACGTACCTGAAATCGGCAGAAAAGCAGCCCGACAAGACGCACAAGAAACGATGCTTCAAAGTCTGTGTTCTCCAAATTGTACCCAATCAACGACGAAGCTCAGTAACAAGCTGGCACCTCAGTCGTAATGAGTCACCCTTGAAAATTATGCAGCCCAATATTTCAATAGTATCATAATCAAATGAGTATATAATTTGTGAATAAAGTTATGCTCCCCGAAATCGCCCAACACCGACGAGTTTATGTTTTTTTGAGTAAATTGCATGAGACGATAGCAATAGAAGCACAAGTAAAAATCGAACACTGAATTCGGGAATTATTCTTTGAGCCAGGGAATCAACGCGAATGCTAAGCCGATCTGTTCGGAAAAGTATTAGTAATGGATTATTATTTCCTGAACAATATGGGTGGTTTTCCTTGTGGGCAGCAGAGTCCGTTGTATTGACGATGCAGGTTCAAGATTATCTTTTCCTCATTGATTGCCAGTAGAGCAGATGAAATTTGTTTTGCTCTGAAAGAATTCGAAAAGCAAGTTCAGTTCAACGGATTTAGTTACTGGTGGCAAAACAGCTTGCGTCCTACAGCTTCACGCTATATATCGAAAGCCTGAAAAAGTGTCGAGCGAAGAACTCTACATGCGGATCATAATTTACATTTTGGAAAGTTCCACAACTAGTGCATTTAGAGCCAAAGGAGCAACGCATAATCAGTCATAATTCCAGTGAATTTCCAAATGGAAATGACTACAGAATCACCAGCAGTGAAAACTAATTCATTTTGGGCCATAAATGACTCCATTACCACTGAAACATCGGATGGCCTCAGCTGTCAGTCGTATCAAAGCGATGGTTCGATAACAAAAGGATTGAAAATATTCTCCTACTGTATCATCCTGTTTCTCTCTGTCTTTGGGAATTCTTTACTCATCGTAATAATCAAGAAAAATAAGCGGATGCAAACCATCACCAATTATCTCATCGCTAATATGGCGGTCTCAGATATATTAATAACAGTTTTAGCCATCCCTCGACAAATCACGGAAATATTACGCGGTCCTAGTATTTGGTTGATTCAGGGAAATTTTGGCTCTTTTCTCTGTAAAACTGTGTCTTTCTTTCAAGATATTTCAACAGCAGTGTCAATTTTAAGTCTCGTCGTCATAGCTATCGACAGGTACAGAGGAATTGTGTTCCCTTGGCGGAAACCACTGATAAAGCCAGCGAAACTCTGCAAAGTTATCATACCGTTAATTTGGCTTGTTTCTATGGGTCTACACGCTGTTTATTTCTATACTTTTCGTGTAATAACAATCCATGATAAATCCCAGTGTAAGTTGAGCTGGGCTCCCAAGTTTGATCAGAAGGACGCTCAGGAGATCTATTATGCCATTTTATTGGTGCTCCTGATCGCTATCCCAACATGCGTACTTACGTCGCTGTACTCCGTAATAATCCTGAATCTTAAAAGAGGGATAAAAAGATGTAAAAGTCTTTCTAATTTCGTTACGTCTCAGAGGCTTAAAGAAGACACAAAAGTGGTGAGGAACATACTGGCAATTCTTATCGCTTTTATGGTTTGCATTATCCCAATCAACGTTTTCGCTATCCTACTGTACTTTGTTTGGGACTGGAAATTGCCTTGTGGTATGGAAGGCTTCGTTTTTGCCGTTTATTTCATTTTATATTTAAATGCTTCAGTGAATCCGTGTATTTATTTCACTTTCAATGAAAAATATCGTCAAACTTTGTTAAACATTCTAAAGGCCCTTATTAGGCGATCGAAACCCAAGGCAGTGGTAGAAAAACAATCAACTGAATCCACGACGCTAGTAACACCACGGAAAACATCTTAATCCGAGGTAACATGGAAACTTGGAATTGACTTTCATTGTATGCTTCCAGACGTTTCAATGAAAATTTCGTATTTCACTTTTTATGAACAATTTAGGAAACAATCCGTTATATCTCTCTCCATGAATTAATATCATCTCGCCTATTTCCTTTCATTCTTCTTCAAGAAATGGAGGGACCACTTGAACCATTGATAAAAAAGAATTTGGCGCAGGAAACCTCGCGCGATGAAAAGATTTCAAAGCAAAAAAAAAAAAGCATTGCTTTTTATTTTTTTTGAAATAAGCCATCCCTCTATGGAAAATTTTAATTTACGACACAAAAATCTCAGTTCAAAGCTCAATATCCACAGAATGTAAACACTTTCAAGTTATCAAGTAGCTGCTTCTGGGACGGAAAAAGACCTCACGACACTACTATTTATTTAACTTCAACTTGTTTTCAATAAGCAGAATTTTCGCAAAGATGGTACATTTTGAGATTAGATGTTATTTATTGGGCACGATTTCCTGATTCCCACATAAAAAAAATTGAACTTCACTTTCGGATTTCGCCATAGGATTCTCTACCACAAAGAAACATAAATTGCCGATAAGCTAGGTTTTAAACTAATTTGTATGCGACAGTTTCCAGCAAACAGCTAGGATAACCAATTTCGAAATCGTATGTAATGTAAATACCTTGAGCTCAGTTGTCAAATAAAGAAGATGTTATCCATCACTGTTTGATGAACGTGGGAAAAGATCTGGTTTTTAAATAGTCCGAGTTTTAAATTTTCAAGGAAGCTAAGATTTATTTTCTTTTTTTCATGCACGCGAAAAACGAACACTATTATTCTTTTATATTGCCATAGTGTGCTAAAACAATACTTCTACAAGCTGACCACCAGCATAATATCTCGGAGGAAATCGATAAATACGCAAAATGTGCCTTTGAGATTCTTTACAGCTTGACTTATGCGATGAGATGATCTTCTCAGACAAGACGAGAATTTTGTTGGCCCATGGTTCATGCATTAACTATTGATTGAAATAACTGTCGAGATACATCACAATAATATCTTATGCAAACATCTGATATCAGTTTGGTACGACAGACTAACATGTACGATATAAACTGTAAGTTTGTAGTTGATTAGAGTCAATATACGTAAATTCTGCTCATTGCAAATGAATCAGCTTGTAACTTATTCAACCTTACTGATCAAACGCAAACTTCACGTAGGATAATCCGAAATTATTAAGCTCAAAATGAAGCGCAATGGAACATCTAATTCACTAGTGTATGAATCTTGACATTTTATTTGACAATATTGTAGTAGGTATTGTAATATCAATGTGGTGATGTTACCCAATAACAATGTAACTTAGTACGGAACTAAATTTGGAGAGTGTACTTGATTTGACGAGACACAATATTTTCAATACATGTAAGGCGTCATGTCTGTTTGATGAGAATCAAATCTAAAAAAGAAAAACAATTTCCACAAACTGAAAACTACGCATTCGAGTACATCGCTTTAGTTTATGGTCCTTCGACTTTCTAATTCCATAATAACCGCTCGACCAAACGGTACAAATTGAAAGGTACAAACTGAATTTAGAAACTGAAGAAAACTTTCTGACTCATGGCACATTTGCATTGGACACAGATGTTTGCAAGTTTCCCAGTAACCAGTATATCGAGAGTAATAGCAGAGTGCCTCTCACTTAACTTTTCAAAAGTTAAACTGGACAACTAACCCTAATTATAGCGCATAATGCGTGTTTCTGTACGTAATAACTCACTGTACGTAATAACTCACGACCTTAAAAGGCTCGTTAACCTTTGATTGGCCTGGCACCATTCAGTCTAAGGAATTACTTTGAGACTTGAACCTTACTTGTTCGCCTATATGACTCTTACGCAACGATAACAGAAATAGTAGATGAAATCTTAGGACAACTTGTCGCCGTTTTGATACAATTACTTCCTTGGTCGAACTTGGTGCTTTACATCGGCCGTTTTCATACTGAAGGATGCATCATCCGTACAAACGGATAATGCTTCTCCCATGTTAGGCGTCTACTGTAAAGACGGGAAAAAAATCAGTCGAACCAGGAGAAGTGGATTTTGTGAAATTGGTTACATTTTTTCAGTTTCCCACTTTGATCGTTTTCTGACTGTTTTCTCATTTTCCGTATATCGGTGTTAGCATCCAATGTGATTTTGAAGGTTTTTTTTTTTTCATATTTCCTAGGCCTCATAGAAGCCCAATTTGGACAATGATATCGGCCGTTTCTTTTTTTTTTAGTTTCTAACAGGCCCTCATAGTGCATAATCTGGACCATCGAATCACAGCTTGCAAAATTACAGCCAATAAGAGCAAAGGAATACATCATATAACTTAATGGTCTTACGTAAGGTGCACGATCCTCGCAGTAGAGAGCGCTATTTATGCAATCAGATACAATGAATATATGAAGTTCATATATTTTGAACTGCGGTATTAGATACGTATGATGCACGATCCTCGCAGTAGAATAAATAGCATAAATAGCGCTCTCTACTGCGAGGATCGTGCATCATACATATCTAATACCACAATTCAAAATATGTGAACATATATTCATTGTAATTAATGGTCTTAATCTAATTTGAGTTATTTGATTTGAGTTATCATCCAATCTAGGTACTTTTTATTGTAAGAATAAAACTAAACTATCAACAAGAACGTACAGCACAAACGACGCCCTATGTGAAATCAGGATGTTCACTTTATCCCACATCAAAAACTCTAAAAACACCTTTCTATCTGGCGCGGAAATTACGTTCGGAGAGCTATAATAAGGGAGTTCCACCCTCACTTTACATTATCCCCTACCGGGAAATTATCCCCTACTGGAACATTATCCCCTACCGGGACGTTATCCCCAACCAGAGACATTGGGGAACTTTAGCAACGACGACGGCGACGGCAACGAGAACGGCAGAAAACAATAGGCTTAATGAGCAGAAACAATCGCCCTGCACGTGCGTTTAACATTTTAGTACATTTCCTTGCCGTTCTCGGCAAAACAACAACGCGAAATAACCAAACTTTAGATTTTCTCGAGAACGTGAGCGCATGACGGTTCATTTTCCTTTCTTTCTCCTTGCTTTAACGCCGTTCGTAGTGATATAGTCCCTGAGTAGTTTGCCAGCATTTTCCAAGTGAAACACATCGGAATGACCTCGAAAGAGTTACAAAAACGAAAAGTTAGATTTCGACACGACGTTTTCGTTGCTGTCGCCGTCATCGTTGCTAAAACTCCCTATTATCCCCTACCGGGAAATCATTCCCTACCGGAACATTATCCCCTACCCCTTCGCCCAGCGGGATAGCTTTTTAGTCTAACAACCTTTGAAGTTAAATTTTTAAGACATTGCGAACGTAATCATTCTTAATTTTGTCAACCTGGGCAAAGTAGATGTAGAAATTTTATCGATATCGTTATCAAAAAGGGAACAAAACAAATCCATGTCTATTTCTTGATAGCCACATGGCCAATTTCTCGACGTGATTTTGCACTACCCGGTTGTTCATTTCTCCATTTGTCAATAACGGTTTTCGATCGAGTCATATCTCATAAGGATATTTTTTGTTTTTGCTTTTAAGTTGATTTGATTGAAATGGAATTGAACTGGCTTGAGAAGATGATTAGAAAGCAAAACATCACAGCTTGCATTTTTATATAGGTCACATAACACTTTTTTTCCCTGAGACTTACATTTTAAAATGTTTGGCTACATGTCCGCTCCTACGTCACCATGTGTAAGAGTTGGCATGACAGCGGTCGTACAGTTTGCCTTAAAAGGCAAGGTATTCCCCGAGGGAATACCTTGAAAGGACCGAAAGTAGTTCTTTTGCTTGTCAAAGAAATCACGTGAACCATCTCTCACACTATCAACGAGCCTCTCCATGGGTACCCATGGTCTCCGTTTGCTTCGCGATTTTTTTGGCAAATCTTCGATTTTTTTAGTCTTCGGTTTTCGGATTGAAATTGCAAGCTTCCCTGCTCCACTGCTCCACATAACGTCGTTCGACACCACCACGGCTTCACAGACGGCGTTTCGGTATCTTTTGAGTTGATGGAATGCATATAGAGAATACTTGACTCTAAGTCGAAATCTACCATGAATAAATTGTATTCTGCGGACCGCGAGGTTAAAGACCAGCGACACGACCAACGTGATACGAATGGAATAGAATCCATTGGTAAGTGGGTTCTCATTGACGTCATTAATGTCATTAATGATTACATTATCAGTGGACTATTTTTTRTCGTTTTCAGCCTTGTATAAACGGCATCATGTGGTTTCGTGGCGGCGACTGTAAACCACTGTTGACACCGTTGTCAAAATCGCAGTGAAATGTGGTCAAATGCCAAAATTCAGAAATAACAGATATTTTCCGTAGTATTTTGACTGTTTTATATCTGAGTGTTCAATATGATCACGAAAATTTTGGTCAATTTTCAGATATCGATCTTCGCTCCGATCTGGAGTTTTTTCCGCGGTGATCTTCGCGTCTTCGATTTCTTCGGAAATACCCATAGAGAGGCTCATCAGCGAGAACAGAATCGATCGATAACGAGATAACTTGCTCTCTTGTCAATGCTCAGTTACATTTATCAGTCATCTAGGGAGAAAAGTGATAACTGCAACGTCTAAAATCAGTTTGCATTGGGCTGAAATGAGTCACGGTTCTTTGTGTTTCCTTTCAGCTATTGTGCATTAAAGCTCATTTGAGAGTGAAGCTTGATTCAGTTCGTACTAGTAGTTTAAAGATGGACTCCTGTGCTCAGCGGACAAACCGAGAGCTTTGGCAAAACCGAAAAACTCTAGTCCTAGTAAATAAGCTTAAAGAGGTACTTACAGCAATTCAATGCTCCTCCGATGTAGTTAATAACCCTACGCTTGCTTTCGGCGAGGTAAGATGCAGCAACCTATCCCCTATCAAGTAACCAAGCCAGCTGTTGTTTTTGAAAGGCTTGGACACGAATAAGTCAACGGCGTTGTCTGAAGTATATTAATCTTTGGACCGGATACTCGGACTGGAGAACAGAAGAGTTCAAGGGAAATGAATACATGTATAACTAGGAAGGCGAGACCCTAGCTTCAGTAGCAAAGGACCTGAAAAAACGTTTTCCTTCAAGTCTCGTCACATACCACTTTCATAAATATTCTTTTGTTTAGATTTAAATTAGCCCTTCTGGCCTCGCTTGAGATAACGTTTCTTTTGAATTTTGTACTGGAGAACGAGGCCAGATGGGCTAATTTAAATTTAAACAAAAGAATATTAATTCGGCAGCCATTTATGAAAGTGGTCTATGGTCCTTAAACTAGCTGTACCTTAATCATAAGGATCCTGAGTTACCATTAGTTTGACAATTCCTGAGGCACATGTCCGAACAGATGGTTATCTTCATCATCGACACCAACAGCAATGTCCAGTTACACAGATTTACCCGATAACTCACCGAAGGATGCAACGATAACCTATCGAAACGATTCACCAGCTAGCGCGTATGGCATTAAAGTGAATTAATGTGAAGCCCGTCCTAATCAGAATTTCTCAGCTTGATTCTCTCTCTCTCTAGAACCTCAGAACGTTCAATTACCAGCTACCTCTATGTAAATGACTGGGAATGGCATTGTAAATGGGGCACAAACCGCAATTCATTAAGAGGAAATAAACCCCAGGAGGTTCCCATAAACCAGTTCTTTCTGTTGAAAATTGTTCTGGAACGTTTACACCAATTCTTAGGATTTCGCTTGTTTTGTTATATTTCGCATGATTAGTGGCTCACTAAGTGAGCTATTGTTTCTTTACCGCTAATAGAGACCGGTCGAATGCAACAGGAAATATTGTCACAGAGAATGCGTAAAACGATCGACAAACAAAACGATGATGTAATTAACTAGATAACTGCTAGTAAAACGACGTGTTAAGATTAAATAACAGACACATGCAACAGGACTTAGCGGGATCAACAAAATAGGAAATTAATAACAACTTAGCCCTATGTGACCACACCGGACCTACGTATCTGGGTGTGGACATCTGTAGCCAATGAAAGTGGCACTTGTAATCCTAAGTCAGTTAGATCGTAGAGTGGAACGTGAATGTTGTGAGCTGAAGAATAAAGGCAAATCAAAAGAAAGCATACAGTCCTCGTTTGTTGAACCAGCGTGTGCGGAGAGCAAATTCCGCGAAAAAAATCACTAATTTCGACTGGGTCAAAAAAATTGTGGGACGCACATTAAGTTTACGATTTTATGGACAAATGACTAGAAGAGACCTTTTCAAGAAGTTCAGTTTCTATCCTGATAGAAGACAGTTCCTATTTTTTTTTTTTCTGTTTTTTGTTGTTGTTGGTTTTTGGTTGTAGTTGTTTTTATTCTGATTATTATTATCATTCATTTTTGTTGCTGTTTTCCGTTTGGTTGTTCTTCTGGTTATTCACCTTTAATCGCGCGCATTTCCCTTCTTAATCATCAAAACATCAGCCACATTACTGCAGCGATAGCTTCTCACTGAATCGTCTTGATCAGCTTTAGTCCCAAGCACTTCCTTCGCGAAGGGAAAATCATACCAAGACAATAAACAACTAGCCAAAAATAATTTAATTGTCAATATTATTTACAAATCGTAATAACTAATCCCTTACGAAACCGCAATAACAAGTTACAAGTTCAATTTACTCGTGTTTTTTTGCTTTTGTTTTTTTTTTTATTTTCAGGGTTACACAAGCACCATTTTGACGAAGTAAATGAAGGTTTTTAAACCCTCATTTACTTCGTCTACACCCCTTACACCTTCATCTTGGCGTTCATATCCTCCGCAATATTCTCCTAACATTTTCTGTGACAAGAATAATGTGTATGGCAATCAAAAACTTCCTCACTTGTTGATCATTTTCATTATTCTGATGACCTCTACTTTTGAGTTAAGAATGATAGATGATAATGTCAGGAGAGAGAAGTAAGCCACTCTAGCTCATGTTTTGCTTCTTCTTTTTTTATTTTTTTATTTGGAATTTTGTTGCTTTTGTAAACTGACCAGCCATAACCACTTACCAATGCCTCTAAATGCACGGATTTCCCGTACTAATGACTAACACATCACATGCAAGAAAAGAATTGAGAGTTTCTCAAGAGCAACGATAACAGAAAGTAATCGTGAGAGTAATCCTTGTCTTTCGTTTGAATGATATTTAAGCAAGAACGATGAAGAAACCTTTTCTTTTTTTTTGTCTCACGTCTTAAATTGTTATCACGTTTTCGTGTTCCTTTTGTTCGATTTCTATCATTATTCATCTATCTATGGGTATTTTAAGTTTCCTTTTTGCCTATTTCGCACCCGATCACTTAGTAATTCATTGACCACGTCCCAGTTGAGAGAAATGAACACTGAAAATTCTTCGAAGCATTAAAATATATGGACTTCTAATAGGTAATTGTTTCCTGCGACTACATACATAGACTTTCCCACTAATGATAAATCATTCGACTAGGTTCAAGTCAGTCTTGCTGAAAACAAAAAAAAACAAAAACAAAAAAATTAAAAAACTACAGACGAAGATGGGAGGATGGGCGGCTCCCATCTCGATGTACCTGTCCTCTATGGCTCAGTGATGTGTTTCGTCTTTTTTTCTACCCACGGTATTCAAAAGACTATGTATCACCCTTTCTCTCCCAAGATGGTCTACATATCAATCTTCTACACCGTACGCCATTTGAGTGCATGCGCATTGGGTGTTACATCAGAGAATATTCCTTCACTGATATTTGCATTTCTTCTCATTGCCCATCTGCTTTAGATAGGGACTGATATTGTACAGAGAAATTCTTCTTTAGTTACTCATGGGAGGGAAAGGGGTAGCACTAATTTTTTTCTTTCTTTCTTCCTTTTTTTTTTTTTTTTTGGCTTTTTCGCGCACGTACAACGACGATAAGAACGCTGAATTTCGGATCGAATGTTTTACACTAACTAAGTACTCACAAGGGCCACACAAAAACAATCTACAAAAAGAGCACGCAACGAAAGCAACCTAGAAAAAAAAGAAAGAAAAAACATGCATACGATATAAACGCGGGAATGCATCGATTGGTTTAAGCTTTAACAAGTGATATCAAGGACTCCCACGGTGGCCTCAGTCTTTCGGGTCAACCCATCACTGAGCGGAGTAAAGTAAAACCAAATGCATTTTTTAAAGAACATACTCAATTAAGAGATGCTCTGAAAACAAGTCACTTTGACATTATTATCTAAAATGTGCAGGCTAGTGTTGTGGTTTTCGTTGGTTGAAAGGGGTCAACAAGTTTGTATCTTCCTAATTTTCAAAACAGCATAACACTCGTGCGATTCGTCTAACACCGTGCCGACACAATGTTGCGCCAAAAATACCCACGGTAAAAAGAATGCGTGGAATGAAAAATTATTTTCAACTAAGCGGTTGTTACACTGGCAAAAGAGGCGCTTTGCATGGGAAACACCCTAACTAAATTGCTCCAATAAACAATAACCAAACGATCTTATAATAAGTTTTCTCTGGAGTCTTGCAGGTTAGAGAAGTACCTCTAGCTCTTTGAAAGGTCGACTTTCTTTTCGATGATGCTTCGTTGTGCCACTACGCCGGCTGTCCCCCCGTTTGATGATATCAATAAGCTTTGGTTGAATGTTCCCGAGAAACGGTCGTCCCCTAGGGTCTCCGTTCCAGCATGCCTCCATCAATGCCCAACATTCGTCTTCAAAATTCGCTAACCGCTCAGGTCGGACGCCACGCCGAACAGCTGACCACAGGTGATCTTTGCTAGCGCACTGCTCGAATGCCAAGGGAAGGCGCACTGTCCCTGCGCAGATATACCAGAAAAGGACGCCAAAGGCGTACACGTCGACGCTGTTGTCATAGCGACCAGAAAACAGTTCTGGCGCCATGTGAATTGGTGTACCTACGATGGATCCAGACATCATTGCCTCTGGTTTGCAGAACCCAAGGTCTGTTATTTTGCCACGGTTCTTAGAGTCTAACTGCAAGCAAGAATAGGAAAAATAAGTGAAGAGTAAAACCTAGTTACGGAATTTCGATCGAAAAAATGCAACCTAGTTTTTCTGATAAGATAATCTACGGACAAAAGAGACTACACGTACAAGTACCATCGGCAACAAGCCGTCTATTGTCGGACTCAAGTGTTTTCCTGCTTCTTCTCTAAGACACTAGATTGCCTCATCCCACACAGAAGTAAAAATGGGCGGCATGGAGCCCGTGAAGCAACGAGTCATCCGTTCAATGAATTCGCACCCCGCCCATGAGAGGTGATAGGGAGCAAAAAATACCCTTGTTGGCTTCATGCTACTCAAACCTCCAAAAGCCCCGGCAAGATGGACCACCTCGCGCATTAATGATCCTGCAAGTTACGGGAATCAAACTTGACCGCACAATAAATTCTGACGTGATGATGGCACTATTACCCCAAATTCAAAAGTACAAAAATGGCACCCCAACTGGCTCGAAACCCGTGGAGTAGCCAAAAGTACCACGATTTAGCGGGTATGAAGTTGAATTTCAAGCATGGGTGATTTACGTTAAAGACCGATGGGGTCCATTGAACTGTTTAGTCATGGTTTAATCTACCTACCAACACATTCTTAAGCTTGATATCTCTATGCACCAATCCCTGACTTTGGAGAAAACGGATGCCTTCCACCACATCAAGAGCTACAAGCAGCCTGTTTTTGTAGTTGAGTCCAGTCTTGATGCCTTGATAGAGATCTCGCTGAAGCCTGTCCATGACCAACAAAACAGCGGGGGAACTGCCTCCTCCATAACTGTAATCAATGACTGACCCTATGATGGACACAATGCGGTTGTGTTTTGGAATGGATCTAATTGAAAAAAGAATAATAATAAAATAACAACTGAAGAAATGCCCACAAAAACGAAAATAAACAAAATGACTATAAGACGATTAAAAAAAACCAGAGTGAGGGTCAAATTCAAAACTGTCAAATTAAGATCCTCGTTGAGCAGAAGGATACACAGCTGATAGACACCCTTTGAACCCTACAAGTGACCAACATCTAATTTCTCCTTATAACATCACCTATGAGTAAAACCTCAAGGTCACAAGAATACACGAAATGATCAACAACTAAAACAGCTCAAGACTGTTGAACAAACTCTCCTCGTCTGCACCATAGACAATGTACAGAGAACAGTACAGTACAGAGAACATGCATACTGATGTTAGGGTGCAAGGAGTTGACCGGCTACTGGTTCTTAGAAAGTTAAGGGCTAAAAATACAGAGGAGAACCCGTAGATTTTCAAATTAGGCATTTACAGAAGGTTACCATTTGTTAAATAAGTGTAGGAAGGCAATACAAAGACATGTACATGGTGTAAGCTGTTACTCTTCCCAAGAGCTTGTTGTCAAAAACACTTAAAAGCTTGTTAATTCTGTACTGTACATTTACCTTGTGTAGAAAAATTCCAAAGCCAAGTCATTCCAATGTTTATCATCAGGAGGGACAACAGATTTGATAGCACATGGCGAACGACCAGCATAACGTTCACATGCATACACAACACCATACTGTCCCCTCCCAACTTCTCGACCCATCTGAGGGATTCCATACACCACCACATCTCTCAGTGAGGTGCTTTCCAGAGCCAGTCTGGCAATCTTGGGAGCATGGCATTTACGCAGACGCAAACGTCTCTCCTCCGTTTTCTCTAGTCTCCCACTGTGATGCGCTTCAAGTATTCTCAAGGATGTTGCAAATGCCTCATGAGATCTCTGGAGTCGCAACCTAAATTGTGAGCAAATGTGTCTAGCCAGTCGTGTTTCACTCAAGCTCGTGAGCATGTCTTGTGCAATTTTCCTCTTCCAGACACCATCTACCTTTGGTGGAGCTTGACCAGGGAAAGTTTGAAGTGCTTGTTTCATCTTTTCCCACAAAAGCCGGGCTAGAGAGGAACTTGCTCTCACTGTAACTTCAATTTGGTATGCAGAGTTTAGAACCTGTCGGCAAAAAGAGAAAAGTGTATAACCTCAGAATGGCTGCATTCTTAAAGCACACAGCTATCATCCTTCTCAGACGTGGCAACCTCAACACCACATTTGGAGGGGGTTAATCCCCAAGATCTCACAAGTAATTGTCCTTAACCTCTCCCATACAATTATAATGACATTAGTTTGGAGAATTTGGTATTACATCAAACTAATAATCCCCTAATTGATATTTTTTGTTATTCCCAACACTTATCTGCTTGATCAACTTGTCTGTATCGATAATGTTAGCAGAAATTCTGTCTTTGTCACTCACAGGAATTAGGATTAAATAAGTTCAAGTTGACTGAGGATTAATAAGATGCATCTGCATGGTCAGTGCATTAAAACATGCAAGATAAGCAATCATGTTGCATACTATGTGCACAGCACCAGCATACCATGTTGCAATCCCTTTGGCAGATACTGTAATTCATAATTAAATGGAACATGTTGGTTAATAACGTTTATCACTGAAAGTGTTTGATGGGTAACTTCTGCCAATACACTGTATATTGTGCAGCAAGCAAGTGACAAGAATCACTACATTACTAGAATAATTAAGCAAATTATTTTAACCCAGTCACTCCAAAGATCTCATTAGTAACTTTCCTTTATAACTGCCATACAGTTCTTGTCATGTTCATTCTGTGAATTTGGTATTAGATCAACTAACAATCTCCAGATTGATGCTTTTCTCTACTCTTGCCATTTGTCTGCTTGGTACTACATAGATGCTGTAAGAAGAAATTATGTCTTTGTTTCTCTGGAGTTAAATTTAAATGTACCTTATGCACAGGAAAATTCAGATAAGCAGCAAAAAGGCAGAATTAGCCCTCCCATTAGGCAGAAACTTTGTAACAAATTTATACATTAACAGTGTGCAATGAACCTACATGTCTCAGTGATGATGTTGCAGATTCTCCATTTTCATATACCCCTTCCCTGTCTATCTTCTCCAAGCACTCAATGCACCGCTTCAGAGTTCCGACAAAATTTTCTTGGAGGTATTTGACTGAACTAATCAATCCTTCTGCCACAGAGTTGTTGATTCTTGCTAGGACCAGCTCTTGAATGACAGTAACACAGTACTGCAAATCCTTAGGGTTTGAAAGTTCACCACTTGGCAGCACTTTTACCCCTTCAACTTTCAGATTCTCAACTTCAGCCAAGATTTCTGGTGATAGTGAGGTAATAGTGTTGTGTATGAGGTCTTTGATTTCCTCTTGCTTGCGGCTTGCACTTTTCATCAGAGCTGTAAACAGATCCTCCTCCTTTTCTCTGGCATAGTCTAGTCTGCGTGGTGTGACCACCATATCTCGTGCCATGTCAAAGGCTGTAGTGATGAACATGCCAAGCACTCTTACATGAGCTTCATTTAGCACCGTTGCTGCTGAAACAACATTGTATTTAAGAACTTGCCGGACAAACAGCAGAAAGCAAGGGAAGAGTTTGAAGTCTTCAATGAGATTTGATTTTGGTCGAATGGCTGTTAATATTGAATTGTTTGTTGATTGCTCATTTTCCTGCAGTTTGGTCTCTTCATTCTCCAACGACAAGTACCCTAATTCACAAAGCTGCTCAAAAATCTTTGTCTTCCTTGGCCGAATTGATTCAGTTTTGATATCAGGCTCTTGGCTGCCATCTGCCAGTTTCTGCTCCATTGCCTCAATAACATAATTGCGGCCTGACTCTGTCATGGAATCTGTCAGCTCAGCAGGAGCATTCCTACTGCATTTTACAAAGAACACAGCCATATCTGGTGCCATTGCCTTCACTTGCCGGAGTTCTGTCTTATCCTTGAAGTAAAAAAGGAAACCACAACATAAATTCAACCTTGTGTATCATTAAAACTGAAAAATTGCTTGACAGATAAAATTACATAGAATTGCTTACTTAAGGGTGAAAGGGAAGTAGGAACAGAGCTAGGGAATAAATAACTGCAAAAGCAGAGGCCAAATTTAGTGAATTGAACTGATACAATGGTCATATGCATAGCAAAACACAACTTTTCATCCTTAGATACCTGTAATTGAACGTCTTTGATTTTCACACCTCAATCACATAAACTTCCATGGCTTCTTGTTTGCAATTCTCTAACTATTTGCAATATTCATTATAAGTCCAAACTTGTACTTAGCAGTCACCCATAGGCCATTGCAGAAATGTGAGAGGACTAGGACAAGTTTCTCATATTGATTACATTGAAAATCTGAACATTTCAACTGAAATGTTACTGAATGAAAAGCTACCCAGCCAAGTTTGAGAGTTTTCAGTGGAAAAGTGTCTATAGCGGAGCCCTGCAAAAGTTACAAAAATTCCATACAAACCCTTAAAAAATTTTGCCCTGTCTACCCAATGCATACAAACTCTCTATTTTAGGTGATATTTAAAAAGCTGTCATTTTGCCATTCTCCTCCTCTGAATACTTCTATTCTTGCTTAAGACTCTCCAATTTAGTTGATCTTTCATTTGAATATCTTAGTTTTTCAAACAAATGGAAAACAACCACCCTCATTCCCAGTCCTCTCACGTTTCTGCAATGGCCTATGGGGAATGATGGGGGTGACAGCTTAATAAAGGTTGATCACTCACTACAGGTTCCACAGATAAAGGGTATTATAAAAGACAAAACAAAATGCCACTTTATCCCATAATTGACCACTTGATATACAGAATCTCCCTAAAAAAAATACTATTTACGTTGATTATGGAAGAGATATATGGATAGGAAATTATTTGATCAATTATTCTTAGTTTCAACTGAGTGGTTCCACCTTGACCATTCACTCCTAGTAGAAAACAGTTTTACTATTCAATGAGGCTGTTGGGACTTAGAAAAGGGGTGACCACAACTGCTCAATAGAGGTAACTGCTTAAAGGGGAACTGAAGCCTAAAAATGAACCATTTTTAAATTCCAGCTTATAGTTCAAATAGCAATGTTCCAGGGTTTTTTTCAGTCTTTGGGCCCAACTTCGCCTCAAAAAAATAGTTTAAAGTGGTATTTTGGCCTCGTAGTATGGCCGCTCAGAAAAGCGATGTCAGCGGTCATTTTACCTTGCTCTTATGTCACTGGTGGGGAAGAAAGACAATAAACCCGTACTCTTCCTACACAACTTTGGTTTGGTTTTGGAGTAATTGAAGTTACGTGGCTTGTAATGTGGATTAACTACCAAAATTAAATAGTAACAGTTGTTTTTCCTAAGTTGGTTCCTCACCACTGAGGCCATAAACGACCGCTGCTGACTTATTTTGAGCCGACGGTCTTACAGCCCCAAAAGTGGGAAAAAGGCAACTTCAAATCGAATTTTCTCATAAAAAACAAGAAGTGAATGAATATGAAATTCGGCACTTTATCTTACTCCTCTAAAGCTAACTAGAAATGAATGCAAACAATATACCAATTTTAAGCTTCAGTTCCCCTTTAATAGCAGTGAAAATTACAGTACTGTTATTCCTGGGAATGAATTTGGGACCTTACAGAGCAACCACTTTATACAAGGGGATGGCTTAACATGGTGCCCCATAATACAAGTTCAACTGTATTTCAAAAAACATGAATATGTGCCATATATGTGAATTATTTTTTTGAAAAGAGATACAAAAGATACAAAAAGACTTTAAATAAAAAAAAAAATCATTCATTGCACTAAAAAGTAAATTTTTTGCATATTATATACAATCTGCCTTGCAATCAAGTTACTTTCAATTAGCAAATCATTTAGGTATTAATTAGGAAATTCATAACTTCCATGTTTGGCATATCTGGAGTCCCTTACAAGAGGACAAAGTCTAAATTTGAAAAATAACCGATTTATTGCACAATATTTCACTTCCTTAGGAGTTGAAGAAATATCAGTTTTTACAACAAACAATACATTAGCTGGAAAAGTAGGATAAGAAAGATGGTAGTATTTTAAAGGATATCTTAATAATTTCCCTTTACCAGACACAACAAATTCGCTGTAGAAGCACATGAAACAGAAATTTCCCATAGTAAAAAATTATCACAATTAAATGAAGTAACGTTATTTCCACCGCACATTCCAAAGAAACAAAACAAAACTTCGCACGGTATCGCCTCAACAATATACACGCAATTCGTTCTAAAGCGCAAAGCACAGTGTACACACCAGTTCTTATCTCAAAAGCCAGTTTTTCGCGTGGAAGTTTTCATTCACAGCAGTTGACATTGTGTGGTCACTTTCTACCGATCAGAACTAATTGTTATGAATGGTGATAATGAAAGACATAAGAGTTACCAAATACATGTAACTCATGCTGTAATGGTCTTCATTAATTACAACCCCATAGATTGCCTTTTTCGACTGTTTCAGATGAAAAAATAGTAATAAAAAAAACGCATCTTGAGCTTTGTGTGTCCCAACAAATGTTTTATTAACAACATCCTCCACTGAAAGAGCGAGAGAGGTTGGAATATTATTGTAAACAGCTCTTTCAGATCATGTCTTCGCATGCGTGAACTAAATATGATAATTACGGGCATGTTTACAGCAATGAAATTATAACCTACCTTCTCGGTCAAAATATCAAATTCTATCGCGTAAAGAACAATTGGAAGCACGTCCTCGCAACAGGCACGGAATATGTTGTCAATGTCGCCCTCGTGATTGCTGGGGGAGCACACTAACTCTGCTCCGGCTTTCAGCAGGGGATGTGTTAACGAAACCTCAGCTACAGCAGTGGCCAATGCTGGATCGTCCCTTTGTACTTCAGTCAATTCGAGATCAGCTCTCGGAACACATTCCCACGAGCCTTCATAGGCGTTAAGGTTCGCCGCTAATTCAAAACTATCCGGTAAAACTAGGCTGACGTTGGAAATGTTCCCGTACTTCAATCGAATCATTCGCCATGATGTGCGACTGTCTAACTCTCCAACCACGGGTAGAACGGGTTCCCCAAGCAGCTCGTTGATCACACAGACTTTAGCGAAGCAAGTCTGTCCTATCACGATAATAGTGGGAGGTTTCTCGCAAACTGCTAAGGACTGATAATCGCTTTCTGGAAGATATGCAGACAAGACGTCTTGACTGAATTGCCCCGAGTCTTGAATTTCCTGAAAGTATCGGTTAGTGTCTCGCTTTATCTGCTTTAGTAGCCTCGAGTGCTCTTGGAACTTGCTTATTTCATAAGGAAGATTCGCAGCCATAGCAGAAAAACAATATTGCTGGCGAATTAATCACTTGCTGTTCTTTTCTAAGTCCAAACGCATCCTTAGTTTTGGAAGACCTCCAGATCAATCCTTCGTCTTGGGCAATATTTTATTGTATTTCGCTACAGAGATCGCAAACATTTGACTACGACCAATAAAATTCTGCCCTAACCATATATGGTTGTAAACGTCACGAAGATTGCGTGAAACGTGACTAGGTCTTGTCTAAACACGTGCTGAAAAAAAAATAATTGGATAGTCACCAAATAAATGAATAGATTAAGGAAATAAATGATAACGTCTGAGACAGACAAGTATAACTCAAATAGTTATTTCTTATTCTTCAGAAATCGGTGTAATATAAACACGGCAAAGATCATTACTTGCGTGACGGAATGAGAGCAATCTCTTCTCCTGTTGTTCATGACCTATCGCACCTTTGCCTCAACACACGTTTCCGGTGTGTGGCTCGTCAGTTTTATTCACTTTGTTTATTTACTGTCGTTTTATTTATCTATTTAATTATTTCTTATATCCTCAGGGTATATTTTTGATTGAGGGTATTACCCTAGAGAGAGACCGTGTAAGAAAGATGATTAACGGTGTACAGTTACCTTCACTAAAATCCTAACTGATGTGATGCAGTTTCTTAGAAAATAGGAGCTTTTTTCTGTGACTAAGATATTTTAAGGACTAAAGGCTGATAGTTTCGAAAGAAACTGTTTGGGGCTGCGTCGGCGGGAGTAACGAAATAATTTGGATATATCAACAAAGTTGAAATGGTAAATTACGGTGGCCAATTTACCATTTCAACTTTGTTGATATATATCCAAATTATTTTAAGGACTAGTTGTACCGTTTTTCCCAGAAGTGATTCTAGCAAACACGCAATACGTTCCGAAACGGCTTACCCAGTCTGGAGTGGGTCACAAGAAAACCGCGTGCTTTGTCACATTTTTTTTCTAAGATCGGGTAGAAGACGATCAGTACTACCAAAACATTAGACTTCGTACAAGCCGAGCGCGAGAAGATAACGTGATGTTTGAGCGCAGAGAAAATCATATTTGAAGCATGTGGTTTACTGGGTACAATAACAATCGGAATGAAGCGAAAAAGGAAGTAACCTTCTTCAGCTCTTGCTTCTTTAATCGCACCTTCCTGTTATGTTTTCCTTCTGATTGTACTTCCGTTCGTCTTTACATGACTGTGGTCGCGTTCAATTCCCCGTATGTATTTCTCACAGCGAATAACTGACCAAAAGAGAACGACTTTCTGGGTTGAGAACTAAGGTTGTTTCTATCGGCGACAATCCATCGGCTTATTAGGAAAAAAACAAAACAAAACAAAACCAAAACAGAGGCGAAACAGGGTGAACTTTCTCGCATAGCTTAGGCAAATAATCATTTTACCTGGTTGAAATTTGGGTTTATTATTCCTTTATTTATTCCTTTATTCTTTTATTCTAATGGCGTTAAACTTAACTTAACATAATCAACCACTACCCACAAATAGCATAGCTAGTCTCGGCGGGCAGTGTGTGGACACTAAAACATCTTACATAGATTTCGGTTCAACAAAAGATTCAGTAAATACACAAGAAACAGAAATTATATATTAAATCATTAATTTAAAAGCAGAAATTACTGTATAATAAAACAATACAGTAATAGAAACACATGACAATAACTACAAGAATACATAAGTTATATACACTACTATTAACTGGATTTAACTTTTGACACATCATTGATTACTCGTTCTAGTCAACATAACTATCTTGAACTTGAAGATTTTGAAATAATATTGATGTTAGCTTTTTCTTGAAAAAATCTTTTGGAAGATTCCTTAAGTTTCCTGGGATGCTATTCCAAATTTTACAACCAATCCTTAAGAATGAGTTTTTATGTTGATTTAGCCTAGAATAGTTTATGTAATAGTTACCGGCAGATGAAGATCGGGTATTATGATTGTGTATTTGGTGGGAAAGAGTGAACAAACCAGAAAGATTAGAGGGGGGGTTAAATTGTTATCGACATCATGCATTAGGAAAGAAGAGAGTTTAACGCAAAGCGTATTAATTGGCATAATAATAGCTGATATAAAATAAGGGATGACTTGTGAATTATAGTCGGCAAAGTTCATTAATAGCACAACCCTTTTCTGGAGTATCAATATTTTTCCATACGAGACTTAGCTGCTTGGCCCCAAGCTACAAGGCCATATGATAAATAAGGATAAATGAGTGATCTATATATATTTAGTAATGTCGAATATCATTGTCATTATCATTGTTTTCTTAGGCGCCTAAATTCCGCTTCTCTTTTCCTTATAATTTTTCTCCTTTCTCCTCTCTAATAAAACGAAGGAAGGAAGGTCTAACCTAATAAGAACCAATGAATGAAAATGCCAAGAAGAGAAAAGAAAAGAAAGAAAAGAGCCAAAAGCAGCAGTTGCAAATATCTCCTTTATTGTAAATGTTATAGGGCTGCTACTTAAATTACATTTTTACTCACCCTATCCTAGTATCAACTCAGTTTTTCAGATCTACTGTAAATTTCTCCTCGCAACCATTTCATAAGCAGAACTGGGAGAAACGCCACACCCTATCCTACCTGGAACCTTTCGAAAAGTGCAACCCCTACCCCTGAGTCTGCCAAACTGCGCTATGGGGCTGTGGCGAGTGGTTTTGATAATTGTAAACAATATTAAAGATTAATCCTTCAAGTTAGAACAATTAGAGTAAGTTAGAACTAATGGAACCAAATAGGCCTATGTATTAAAAATATCCTTCATCAGTACAAAAATAGTTGGACGCGAAATATCACGAACTTTAAAACCCCAACTGTACAGATAAGCATACAGGGCTAGACAAGATGTTGACTTTTAAACAAATGCTAAATGTGCCAAAGAAAAAAACCTAAAACGAACTTAATTACAAGCTTGCATTAAAAACCATTAACGTTTCCTTAAACCTGACCAAGACATTCAAACTTTAGGTCGAGCCCTATCGTTCCGCGCCTTGTCAATCTCCTCGTTGGAGAAATAGACAGCTTCACTGTTGAAAGTTATTTCCACAGTTCATAATTTTATCTTTAGGAAACGGTAAGATCTAAATCTAGACGGGGCTACGGGTTATAATTTTAGCGACGCATTTACCCAAGATATATTACAATTTTTTTGTCTTCAATCTAGCTCGTTCTCGTCAACGTCTTCGAGGCTTTCCATATTGGAATCAACATCTTGTTTAGGGCGTTTCACTTGTTTCACAAAATCCTTTACAGTGGGCCGCCGTTTATAGAACAACACGTAAGCGTACTTGGACACGACACGCTCTTCATGGGTCTCCGTGACATGCCGGTCATCAAAATAACGCCAACCTGTGAAAGTAAGGAAAAAAAAAATCAGCAAAACCAAGTACCGTGGGGTGAAAAGAAGGAAGTTGAATTGATTTTTGTGAAAACAAATATATCCACAGATAAACCTTCATCTGGTTACAGCTGCAAATTAAACGACAATTTCTTCAAGGGCACAGCATATTTTGCTCTTTACGTACAGCTGTGACTATCAGACCTACTTCAGTCCTACAAAACTGCTTAAGGGAACGCATCTTATGCCTGCCGCTGTGCCATTTTTACAAAATACCAGAGCTAAAAATGTTGGCAGTTGTTGTACTTCTTAAAGCTAGAACTGCCGCTCGAGAAGACGCGGTTTTGAATCTCTCCACCTATCACTGTCGTAATTGTTTCCCAACGCTGTGTTTTGGATTTTACGAGCGATATATATCCAACAAGAACCATAGTTGACTTCGGAAACAACGACTTCGACACACACTTTGTTTGAACCATTCACGTAGTATACACCGATTCCCTTCCCCCACCCCCCATCCATTCTAACACAACACTAAAGCATAAAGAAGCAACGTTTGTACAAACCCAAGCCATCACGACCCAGTTCTGTGGTAGGATGGTCCGCCTCTGCCAGCCGACCGAATGCGGTGTAGTGACCAAAGCTGACTGCCCCACTGTGATTAGCCGCGGCAAACAAATCGTACAAGGATTCTTCGTTGTCATCTTTACCAAGAGTGAAGTTAGACATGTTCAAGCCCCTAACACAACAGCGAAAAAAAAAATTGTCTAGTGATTTTAATCCTAAGCTGAGATATTTAGCTTTGCCAGCGGTGACAAAAGCTTCATAAAGCACAAAAAGAACCAGCGAACTAGCTGCGCCTGCCTTCCCTCATAAAAGTACGAAACACTATCGGAAGAGAGCTAGCTACCATAAGTGAAGCATAGAAAGGTGTTCTTTCGGCTTATCACGAGCGTGGGACATAGACAAATTCTGAGTCGCCATGAGGAATTGAACTTCAGACCTTGGGATTCCGCGCTCCAATGCTCTACCGCTGACCCACAGAGACTCCATGTTCAAGCATCATTATAAAAGAGAAGGGCTCTAACCAGACGTGTCTGAAACATCTTCTAAATCAGGAAAACGAGAGTAACAACAGACGAAATAATACCAGAACATTCCTGGTAAAAAAAAAAAGCATGGATGTCACTGATTCTCGTGCAACATACAAATAAATTCACCAACCTTAGCGGAAATTCGACTAATTTAGTTATCTTGTCTTTAAACAAGATGTTCCGGAAGGAAAATCTCTTGAGGTGAATGATAAGTATCTCCGGCAAACGCCACACAGACAACTGCTTGGTGGCCTCACGATGGGCTTTACACTGAGGACAGTACCTGCAAGTCAGCGGGCAAAGCCTTACTCACATGCACAACCATCAATTTCGTACGCGGATTTCATGTACTTCGTAAATAGCAATGAAGAAAGCAAGAGGGTCTTAATGCGGCTAACCGTTAGCCTTCAAGTTAAACAAGAAGGCGCCCTATAAAAGGAGCCTTATGTCCCACTGGACCATCTGTCAATCAACCGTCGTGTGATGTAGAACCCTTAGAGTCAAGTCAGCTTGAGCTACAGCTACTCCAAAGCAGTGAACAGTGGGCGCATTCCTCAAAATTGTTTTATGTCTTCATCACAATACAAGAATTTTTGAGATTTTTATTTCCTTTCTCCAATGGAAACTGTCTTTATTTGTGGCGGTAAATTTGAGATCGAAGTAGGTGGTTCGCACGTTACCTCGTGCCACCATATTGGTGGAAGTAAACAATAGATATCTTATTAACTCCTTTTGTTCGTCTACCAGCATTTAAATTTAACCCGCACACGTCAACGGTGAGTGACAAATGAGCCTAGGTCTTCCCAGGGAAGACTTCCTTAAAAAGCGCGCCTTCGTGTTTAAAACGGCCAAATGATCTGGCCATTAGGCGTAAACACTGAAATATTTTAACCGTTTGTCGTAAAAAAAAAAAGTTAACCGTAATTTTTTTTCGTTTATCACCAAGGAATGAAGCTGACCGTTAGTCATAAATTGGCCAAAATTTCAACCGCTAACCGTAGAAGCCATCACCCTGTAGAAACCCTCAAGAAACATCCTTTAGGGGAAACCTTACCAAGCGTCGTTTTCACTCAATGTCTCCGGTTCTGTAAACAACTCTAAACACTGGTTTAACGAACAACTGTACGACTCTAAAAAAGGAAAAGAAAATATTTCCTTCAGTGAAATAAAGTGGATTTAACAAAACTTTGTAATAAACCAAACTAAAAAGAGTCAATTTTACTGAATCAAAGCAAATATTCACCTGTAATCATCCCTGATTTGTATGACGAATGTTCTACGAAATCCTGAAATAAAAATGAAAGAGCCCAGTAAGTGCGACAAATGTACCAATGGTGAGGTGCCACTGACGAAACAGCTCTCAGTGGACGAAATCATCAAATTATTGCTTTACAAGATGCGTTTTCAGCAAAGGAATATTTAACTATTCTCGAAATCTACTAGTATAAACTAACCTAGAAAATAACTGAAAAAAAATTAACACGAAGTTAACATCTAAAAGTATGTGACATATGTCCTTGTAAGGTTTATCTTGTGCACTTTCGAGTAGAAACAGATAATCAAAACAAAGCGAAGCGAGTTAATGTAACAGAACTATACATGTACCTCTTTCCCTTCCAAGATCTCCCCAACTCTCCTCTCTGTCTTCCAGACAGGTCTTATGGTGTTGATTCAAAGAATTTGCTGTTGGACCGACTAATAATACCCTAATTGATGTTTTTTTTTTTTTTTTTTAATTCTTTATTCTCAAGGCTTGCCTGCTTGATATAGTATAGATATTGTAAAGAGAAATTCTGTCTTGGTCCCTCATGGGAGTCAGAGGGTCAAGTTGAGTGGTAACATACCCAGTCTCTTTTTTCTACCACGTCAACAAACTCAGGTGATCGGGGATGATTCCTCCAGTCAATTGAAAAGTACTTGTTCCCCAAATCCAGCGGCTTTGATCCTGTTGTAGTCAAAAAGATTATTGTTACATGGTACGACACGAACCCCTTTTTCCGTTTAACTTTAAAAATTTTTTATTTCATCTTTACATGCTAAACTTTAATTTTGCAGTAAGAAAAGACCACTGAAAGAGCAGATGAACCAGTCTTTGCTGATGATGATGATGATGATGCCCTTGTTGTTGCTCACGTCGTTATTGTTGTTGGTGTTTTTATTTTTTATTTATTTATTTATTTATTTTTTTTTTTCACATGAACCAACTAGTATTACCCCTTCCTTGACAAGGGGGTATGTGTAATTCAAAGGGTAAAACATCTCGCCGAGCACAAAATCAGAGGGTCGGAGGTTTGACACTTGGTGGGGAAAGCGAAGTTTTCCCTGTTCCCACGCTCTTTACAAATGCTTCAACTGTACCTTCATCTGAAAGGCGATTTCCCTCTTGTCCAATGACAGCATCTCCAAAAGCTGTGACAGGCTTCACGTAGAACTTGGGCACGTTGCCTTTAGGGGGACCCACCACACAGGTAACGCCTAAAGAAAGAATTCAAACGATTTCGTCAATGCCTTGGCAAGGGGGACGGGTTTATGTAATGGGAAGATGAAGGATTCGGTTGAATACGAGTGGCAGCCTTTCAGATACCATGTGGGCCACATGCAGGGTTTTTATTAGAAGCCGGGCCCCGGGTACCGGTACCTGTCTACCTAAAACAGAGTACCCGGCTACTTCAAGTACGAAATCAACAAGAAAGTCGTCAAGAAAAAAAATTATCAACCTCAACTAAATATTTACCCTTCCTTGTAGGTTTAAAACCTTTTTTCTGCACTTATTTATCAAATACTTGCCACAAGATCGTGAAAATAGTTTGTATTTTGACAAGAAAGGCGCTGCGTGTTAATCGAGTTTTTTAAGTGCCGAATTGGCTAACGTGGTACACGTTTAAAGCAAATGCATTCTGTGGAGTTATCATGACAAGCAAAAGAAAAACTCAAGGCGTCCTGGATTCTTTTTTGTCATTTACATACAGGTCTGCAAGTCAAAAGGTTAGTTTTCAGCATTTCATCAATCTTGTAATGTTTACTCTTTCCTTTGAGGGAAACACGCAAGCACTAGTTTGCATATGAAAAATGAAAAGCACTGACCCAGAAAATTAAATTTATGTTTTCTGGTTTTCGGAAGAATGGTTCTCTTTTTTGAGAAATTACGTTCAGTAACAATGCTTCCTTTGCTTTCCATTCCTTAAACTGTTCATTTAACACTTTATCAGAAGTAAAAATTCACAATTTGAAATAAACAACAAGAGTAGAATGTCGCCGTAAAAGATGCTTATCAGCTAACACGTGCGTCTCAATATAAAGCTCGTATTTTCTTGGATATATCAACAAAGTTGAAATGGTAAATTGGCCACCGTAACGATTACAAAAGCTGACGTTTCGAGCGTTAGCCCTTCGTCGGAGCGAATGACGAAGGGTTAACGCTCAAATATCCAAATTATTTCGTTACCCCCACAGACGCAGCGCCTAACAGTTTCTTTAGAAACTATCAACCTTTGTTCATTAGTATTTTCTTGGTTTTCAAAGCTTATATAC